TTTGTGGTTTTTAATATCTAAATTATGATTTTTTTATTTCTTCATTTAATTGTGGTCAGAGACTATAATTTGCTTCTTTGTGATGTGTTGATTCTATTTATGGGGCTTAAAACATTGTCATTTCTTTAAAAATGTTCCCTGTAGGGGCGCCTGAATGGCTCAGGGGGTTGAGCCTCTGCCTTCGGCTCAGGTCATGATCTCAGGGTCCTCGGATCAAGCCCCACATAGGGCTCTCTACTTAGCGGGGAGCCTGCTTTGCTTCCCCCTCACTCTCTGCCTGCCTCTCTGCCTACTTGTGATCTCTCTCTCTGTCAAATAAATAAAATCTTTCAAAAAAAAAATGTTCCCTATATATTTGCAAAGAATACACGTGTTCCAGTTTTTCTTTTTCACATATTTGCATACTGATACCATACATACACCGAAACCTCAGCCCCCCAGACCCAGTGTCACCAGAATTTAATGGGGAATAAAGAATATGTCATATTAGCTTTGACTCCTTGCCAAATGAGCTTCTTATAAACAGTTTGTCCAGGAAAAAATCTTCTCATTCAAAGATAACAATAAATATCTCCTGATGTACAAAGATACTACAGCAAAAGGAATGAGAGAAAAAAAAGAAGAAATTAAAAGGAACATGCTAGAAATAAAATGCCACAATATAGAAGAAAACACATTCACTATGATTTCAAGGAATTCACTAAAATAGTTAACTGCCTAAAATAAATAGGAATCTAAGAGTCCAAGGAAGAAATAATGGACAAACTGGCTAAAGAAGATGGTTATATAAATTTTTAAAAAATAAACTGGCAGAACTCTGTAAAGAAAAAGCAACACAACAATGGGAGGTCTCTCTAAAAGCACCATGTGAAAATACAAAAAGTAGCAAGGAACAGATAAGTGAACAACATGAAATGGAAATAAGGATTTTTAAAGGAAAACAAAAAAAATAGAGTTCAATAAAAAACATCTGACAAACAAAAGAATCCTTGAAGTGGAAGCATAAAACTTTTACCATTAGTCACAGTATAAATTTAACAGATATTGTCTAAAACAAGAGATTAAAAGATTCAGTTTAAAAAAAAAAAGAGGGAGGCAAAATAAGAGACTCTTAACTAAAGAGAACAAACTGAGGGTTGCTGGAGGGGAGGTGGGCAGGGGATGGGCTAAATGGGTGATGGGAATTAAGGAGGCACTTGTAACGAGCATTGGGTGTTAGACGTAAGTGATGAATCACTAAATTCTGCTCCTGAAACTAATATTACACTATATGTTAACTAACTAGAATTTAAATAAAAACTTGAAATATTAAAAAAAAAAAAGATTGGGTTCAAGATGTTAATGTGACAAAAGATCATATTAAAAGAACCAACCACACAGAAAAGAATCCAAACCTTCCAAATTACCAGAACGGACTGAGAACCAAAGCAAGAATACAGAGTATAAGGTGAAAGATATAGAAAAGAAGTATCTTTATCAGAAATGTATGTAAAATAACATCTTTCCAAACTGTTGTACAGAAAAAGTGCCCAAGGACTCTGAAGGATGACAGTAAAATGATAAGCAAAAGACATATCTGGAAATGCCAACAGAAAGGAAACAAGAACCTCCATCTTAATATCAGATAGGGCTGAATTCTAGGAAAATAAATACTGAACATAACAAGACACAATCCAAAATTAATTTCATATGTCATTATTATCACTACACCAAACTTCATAGCATTGAAGTTTATGAACAGAAACTACAGACAAGTATAGACAGATATATTTGTGGTGGGACACTTAGTATCTCTCAGCTCCAACAGATAAAGTAAAAACAAAATAAAACAAAACACACTGTAAAAACCTCATAACTATATAAGATAGATTATTGATAAGACAGCAAATTCTGTATCCTGAAACATTCTTGTGCCTATATAACATTTAGAAATATTAAACATAAAGTTTGCATGCACACACACTTTACACAAAACATTCCAAGAAGTAGAATAAAATCACTGTAAATAAATCTCTCCAAAGCTTCAATCCTAATTTTATTAAAAGCAGAACGAGTTTAAATAAAAATCTTAATACCTAAAAGTGAAAATGTAAATAGTGGGGCGCCTGGGTGGCTCAAGTAGTTAAGGCCTCTGCCTCCGGCTCAGGTCATGATCCCAGGGTCCTGGGGTCAAGCCCCGCATCAGACTCCCTGCTCAGCAGGGAGACTGCTTCCCTTCCTCTCTCTCTGCCTGCCCCTCTGCCTACCTGTGGTCTCTGTCTGTCAAATAAATAAATAGAATCTTTTTAAAAATTTTCAGAAAATTAAGTAGTAATTAAAAATTTGGTGAGAAATTTAGTATGTTTCTAGAAATTCATCCACTCCATCTAGATTTTTGTACTAATTTGCATAAGACAAATTATTTTCCTAAATTATTTCTGAACATTGTTTGACTGTATATCTTATCTTTTGATATATAGCATTTTTATTATTTTAACTTTGGAGTGGACTACTAAGTGAGAAAATAATGTGTTTCACATGTGTCCCTGTGATAAACCCTACTGGACTACTGTTTTCATGTACTCTTGAATTCAGTTAGTTAATACTCTTATGACTACTGAATCTATGTTCATAATTTCCAGTTCTTTTACTATTCTTGTCTGGTTTGGTCATCAAGATTAACATAGTAAAAACAATAAAACAAACACCACAACCAAGGTTGGGAATAATTTTAGGTATCATCTTTACCCAAAACTTTTGCATAAAGATCAACTATTAATCCACATGATGTTTTCCACCATTTTTGACTGTGTAGGAAATGTTTGATAAACATTTTAATTTCTGCAGGGGCTTCTGAACCATCTGTATTTATCAATTTTGACATTTATTTTTTGTAAAACTGTATCCCTTCTGTTTAGGTTTTCATAGTTTTGTATGATTTTGTGTACTATTCATTTGAGATTGTTTTGTTTTTTTTTTTTAAAGATTTTATTTATTTATTTGACAGACAGAGATCACAGGTAGGCAGAGAGGCAGGCAGAGAGGGGGGAAGGGAAGCAGGTTCCCTGCTGAGCAGGGAACCCGATGCGGGGCTCGATCCCAGGACCCTGGAACCATGACCTGAGCCAAAGGCAGAGGCTTTAACCCACTGAGCCACGCAGGCGCCCCTTGAGGTTGTTTTAATCTTTGATAATGCAGTAACTCTCTCTCCTGTTTTGTTACATACCTTCAGTGTATCTTTACTCCCTGTTCTTGATCACCACCACATTCAGAAGCCACTTAGGCTTTTTTTTTTTTAAGATTTTATTTATTTATTTGACAGAGATCACAAGTAGGCAGAGAGGCAGGCAAAGAGGGGTGGGGGGAAGCAGGCTCCCCACTGAGCAGAGAGCCTGATGTGGGGCTTGATCCCAGGACCTTGGGATCATGACCTGAGCCGAAGGCAGAGACTTTAACCCACTGAGCCAGCCAGGCATCCCGCCACTTATGCTTCTGTCAGACATGTTCATTAATTATGTTTGTTCTCTACATGACTAATTTCTTCCCTTATTTTATTTTATTTTTTTGTTATTTTCTAGTCCTTATTGTTATTTTATATTTATTGAATTCTTTTTCTAACTTCTTCAGTTGTAAGTGCTACTTATTCCTTAGGTCTCCCCCACCACCAAAAACTTCCAGGATTCCTTAAAAAGGCGTTTAAATCTCTGTTTTTTCCCCTCTATCTATAGTTTAGCTTTGCCACACAAACTTTAAAATGTAGTTCTTTTTAAAAAAATTTTTTAAATAACATATAATGTATTATTTGTTTCAGGGTTAAAATGTCGTTCTTTATTTAACTGAAATTAAACACAAGGAATTTTCTTTTTTTTTTTTTTCAAAGATTCCATTTATTTATTTGACAGAGAGAGATCACAAGTAGACAGAGAGGCAGGCAGAGAGAGAGAGAGAGAGAGAGAGAGGGAGGGAAGCAGGCTCCCTGCCGAGCAGAGAGCCCAATGCGGGACTCATCCCAGGACCCTGAGATCATGACCTGAGCCGAAGGCAGCGGCTCAACCCACTGAGCCACCCAGGCGCCCCCACAAGGAATTTTCTAAGATCCTTTATGGTTTTTCCCTTTAAAGAATTTTCTTTTTTAATTTATTTATTAGATTGAGAGAGAGAGAGAGAGGGAGAGCATGCGAGCACCGGCAGATAGAGTGGCAGGCAGAGGCAGAGGGAGAAGCAGGCTCCCTGCTGAGCAAGGAGCCCGATGTGGGACTCAATCCCAGGACACTGGGATCATGACTTGAGCCGAAGGCAGCCGCTTAACCGACTGAGCCACCCAGGCGTCCCAAAGAATATTTATGTAGGAAAAAAAAGTTTTCAGATATGAGAGTTTCTTTTGTTAGCCTTTTACTTTTTTAAAAACTTTTTAAAAAGTTGTGGTAAAGTACACATAAAATTTACCATTTTAAAGGTACACTTCAGATATTAAGTCTTTTCTCAAAGCTGTGCAAAAGTCTTTTACTTCATATTTCTAATTTAATGCTCTTGGTTAGAGAGTAAAATCAACATTATAGCAAAGTTTCATATTTTTTGTCTGCTTGGATTAATGTTTCTGGGAGTAGTTAATAAAACAGATCAGTGGAGAACCAACATCTAAAAAGCAAATTTTTAAAAAGAACAAAGAAATATTTATGTGGGGAGAAACAGTTTAAGAAATAGAGAAATACTTTCAGAATTGCGCACAAAAATGATTTCTAATCAGGAATCTCATCCTCAGCCAAAGATCAACATAGCATAAGGCAAAATAAAAGGCCATTTTTGATACTCCACCTCTCCACTGTCATACATTTGGCCTCTAGATGTGGAGACAACCATGTGTTGCTCATTCTTGACAGAAAGATCAAGATTTGCTTCAGGGAAGTAAAAGTCTGGTTGCTTCCTGTGACCCAGCTGCCCCTGCCCAGAGGCTCTGGTGACATATCAGAGGTATCTACTCCCAGGATGAATCCCTACCCCCTGGGAGTCTTCCTTCTCACCTCATATGAATTATCACGTTCCTCTGGAACCAGGACCAGGGATTTCTGGGGAGAGGTCCGATTAGCTGACATGGTCATGGTAGGTCTCAAACTTTATTCTCTCGGGAGTCTAAAGCTTTGTAGACATCTGTAAACTCAAGCAGAGCTGCTGGAGAGAGGCAGGCTGGAGTCTGGAGAAAGATCTAACCCAAGGGCTCCCTAGAGACACCAAAAAAACCTAGAACGACAATGTCCACATGGTCAGATACTAGATATTTTTCTCACAAACCTTTCCTGTGAATACCAAGGTGAAGTTCCCTGAGCTAGACACACTGAGCAGAGGCTCTTAAACTTGAGTGTGGTTTCAAAACACTTGGGAGGACTTCTTAAAGTACGGTTAAAAATCCTCAACCTCACTCTCAGTTTCTGATTTAATAGGCCTAGGGTAGCAAATGTTTTAGTCTAGCCAGGCTGCTGTAATAAAATACCACAGACTGGGTAGCTTATAAACAACAGAAATTTATTGCTCACAGTTCTGGAGGCTGGAAAGTCCAAGATCAAGGAGACAGTATGGTCATATTTTAATCAGGGCCCTCTTCCTGGTTCATAGCCAATACCTTTTTGCTGTGTCTTCACATGGTAAAAGGGGTTCAGGAGCTACGTGGGATGTTTTATAACAGCACTAATAATTTATAAGTGCCCACCTCCATGACCTAATCAGTTCCCAAAGTCCTTACCAACTAATACAATATTTCTGGAGATTAGGATTTCAACCTAAAAATTCTGGGAGAACACAAATATTCAGACCATAACAGGGCCCAAGAACCTGTATTTCTAAGTAGTGCCCAGGTGCTGGTCCAGGGACCACACTTTGAGAACCAGTGCTGTGGAGAATATTAAGTTTAATGAAACCTGTGATGGGTATTAGTCATGAGAAATGGAGTAATATACTTAAAATTTGAACTGTAGCTCAGCTATCTTTCAGCTCTGAGAATATGAAGAAGTTCCTTCCATTTTAGTTTCAAAAATTAGGATAAAAGTACCTATTTCACATCTCCCTGGCAGACAAGAAGCACCTGATAAATCTCAGCAAGTACCATTCTCTATTAGATATTAAAACAATATAAAAACGATGTAATCAAACAGAGAAAACAACAGCTCAGACAATACTGACTTATATATGTAACAAAAATGGCATTCAACTGAGTGTGCACAGGACATTTATTGTGTAAGCAGCATTGACATAACTGACCATCCACCTGGAAAAAAACAAACTATATCCCCATCATACATTATACATTAGGTTGAATTCCAGCAGGACTAAACATTTAAGTATACGTATTTTATAAACCCCAAAAGATACTTTTAAAAATTTTAGTAGTATTTGTTTGTATGAACATTGTGGTGGGGTGGCAGAGAGCCTTATTACATATATGAGACAACCCAGATGTTATAAAAGAAAAAAAACAGATATTCCTGGTTAGATGACATTTCTCAGTTATATATCAGAATACACTTTAAAAGCAAAGATGAATAAATATATACACAAAATTTCAATATGTAACAATAAGTTATTTCTAAATTAGAAAAAAATCTAGCAATCAATATGGAAAAAAAAAATCCCAGAAAAAAAAATCTGAACACAGGATATGAAAATTCACAGGAAATTAAATTTAAATGGTAATTAACCAAAAAGATGCCAATTTTAATAACAGGAAAGTGCATTAGAGCAATTAGATATTAATTTTTCCTAAGAATAGTAAAAACTTATTTTATTTTTTAAGTAGGCTCCACGTCCAGCGTGGAGCCCAACAGGGGTGGGGGGGTTTGAGCTCACCATCCCAAGATCAAGACCTGAGCCAAGATCAAGAGTTGGCCGACCAACCGAATGAGCCCCCAACGTGCCCAGTAAAAACTTATTTTAAAAAATCCAATGCTGGAAAGCATTTGGGGAAATGACCCATTTTATAAATTATTGGTGGGAGCTTGAATGTTATGGTATCTTTTGAATTACTTAGTCATATCTATTATTAAAAATAAGCAACTCTTCCTAATAATTTCAAATATACAAAGCAAATACTGACAGAAGGAAGGACAAGAGGACAAATCACCACTCTAGTGAGTTTACCTTTCTCTCTAATTAAGCAGACAAAATAAACAGAATATATATGAAACAATACAATAGAGAACACACATTGTTTTGATGTAATAGATGTGTCATTTATGAAAACCGACCAAGAACTAGACGGTAAAGCAATTTTTAAACTCGAGCATTAGGCAGAGGCATTATATGAAATAGACAACGCACTTCTAAATAACTCATGGGTGAAAGAAAAAAAAATAACTAAAATTTTAAAAGCCAGTACTTAGATTTGAACAATAAAATGCTACACATCGTAACTTATGAAATTTAGAAAGCAAGCTCATCATAGACCCCACCAAACCCCATAACTGACTCCACCGCTCACTGACCACTGACTCCCATCACTGAGCCCACGAATCCCACCACATTCATCTCAAAAACCCCCATCACTGACCCAAGAGACTCCCAACACTGCTCTCAACGGCAAAGGATGCCACAAACTCTTCACCACTGAGCCCAGAAACCACCATCACTCACTCTACAAAGAACATCCCCATCATCGACCCCACAAAATCCCTAATCACGACAACGAAAATCACCTCAGAGACCTCTCGGAATTAAAATGCAGAGAAACTCCGGACACCAGCGGCCAAAAAGCTTTCGAGGACCACTTCCGCTTCCGGCCTAGTCTTTAGCATCCTCTCTCAGGAACTGTTGCTAGTGCTCATGCTCTGAGTTACCTTGGAAGCCGCACATGCCAACAGTTAACATGGCGCCGGTCTCGTAAGAGACGCTGTCGGACCGAGAACATGGTCTCGCCCATGGTGCTTCTGCGCGCGAGCCGCCATCTTTGAGGTGTGTCCGTTCCGTACAGCGGAGGAATAGGCCTCCCGCCGGTTTTCAGAGAGCGAGGCCAGGATTGCCACATAGAATGCAGGGGTGAGGCCCTGGCTGAGGTAGGCTTCTGGAAGGGGGAAGGTATTGGCGATGGGGTCTGGTACTCTGTGTTATATTTAGAAAAGCTAATTTCCCTCTAAGGATATGGAGCTCTGCCGAGAGCCATTATCTACTGGGAGAAACCACCAGGGATGAGGGGAGCCAGGAAGGAAAAATCACTAAGGGAGAAGGACAGACGTCTTATATGTTACTGTTGAATCTTGGGAGGAGTCATCGGCGGATGAGGGGAGAAGTCAAGACAGTATAGTCTACTCTTTGGAGAAACCGCTCAGGGAGAATGTGGAGACGTCAGAATGGGAGCCCCACCCTGGACGAAACCACCCGGCAAGACAGATGTCAGAATGGGCAGTCGGTTGCAGAAAGGGTAGTTTAGCCTTTATGGGAGGAACCACCTGGGGAAATAGGGTACAAGTTGAAGTGGTTCAGACCTCTCCTGAGGGATACCACCAGGGCAAGAAGGCACTTTCTGAAGGGCTGGTGGAGGGAAATGGAGCCTTGAATTCCCATCAATCTCCGTTGGTAGACAACAATTATAAAAATAATAATGGTTTTTAATATGGTCAACGTGTGACAAAAAGTACCTAAGGAAAAATGCTATTTTTGTTTTAATTTACAAATTCAGTTTGTAAATTAAAATCTAGGTAATAATAATGTCCTTGGGATATAAATGAAGCCTAAAGTCCAAGGGGCAAGGTGCTGGGGGGGGAGAAGGGGGTTGCACTGTGAAGACACAATTCCTTTCATCTGGTGAACTCCTAAACATTCTTCAAAACCCCACCAAATATTGCCTCTGCCAGAAAGTTCTGCCTGACAGTGGTAGGAGGTTCTATGACCTTCTGAAAGTCTATGTCATCCCAGAAGTCGGGAAAGTGTTTTAAGGGAACTAGACCTAGGCCCTGGTGTGGGCCCGCTGGGTACCTTCAGGCCAGTTATGTCCCTCTCTGGGATTCAGCTTAAAAATAGGGCCAGTTAGAGGGTTGGACTATGCTTACACCAGATTTTCCTTCTTCTCCCAAAGCCTGGTTGAAGGAATAAAATCTGTGGAAGTCTATTAGTGAACACACATTTTTACCAGAGGTCTAAGAATTACTGTTAATTTTGTTGGTAATGTGATTATGTTATAAGACTTACCTTTTAGAGATTTATATAGAAATACTAACGAGCAAAGCGATAGCTTAAAAAACATCACTGAGGGGGCGCCTGGGTGGCTCAGTGGGTTAAGCCGCTGCCTTCGGCTCAGGTC